TAAAAAATGGGCCTCATATTCCCAGCCAACTCCATAAACGAAGAAATACCTCCTCCTCCACCCTTCAGGCTCTGGAGGAAGGTCAGAAATGAGAACTTCTCCTCCCCTCCTAGGAGTAAAATGGTAAAACTCAAACACCTCCTCGGGGCGGAACAAATGAAAAAACTCTGGAACAGTAGCCCTAGACTAGGGAAACAACCTCCCCCACATCGCTACAAAGCCTAGCAAGACCGCCTAGGCCGCAAGAAGGAGCATGGCGGGACAAAAGCCAAAAAAATACAAGACCTCTCTGATAAATGAGGGAAGAGGGAACCGCAACTCTAACAAGAAAGGGGCCTCAAAGAAACAGGCCTCGTCCCAGACCAAACAATGAAAACGACGCATATCAGCATGACGCACAACCACACCAGGCGGGATATCAAAATGTCTGGCAAGAGAATGAGCCTCTTCCTCCCCAATCTCATTAGCCTCAACATCGGAAAGAGGCGTTCCATAACATCGTGAGAAGAGAAAGGGACCCTAGTCATGAGAACAGGAGGAAAATATCTTCCCTTGAAGGCACTGAAGGAGAAAAGTCGCGACCACGGAGAAAGCGAAAGATTCTAATGCCTAAGGCGGGGCAGTCAGTCTCCAGAAACGCTCATTTATAACCCTAGCCATGGGCGCAATTAATGCACGTCCCTTGCATTAAAGTAAAGAACACATGGCGTCGTGGGAATCACTGAAACGTCACGATCAACAAGCCACTACCCCCACTGGCGGCGCACGTTCTTTAACAGATGAAACCATCATATCTAGAGTACGGAGAAAGGTGTGCGAAAAGACCAAAATGACCCCATGGGACTTCTGGCTGAATCTGCCATCTTGCCCTGGTCTGCGATTAACCCGCCTTGAAAAAGGGCAAAGTCAGCTCGGCTATGCAAGGCCAAAGCCTTGGCCCTACCACGGCCACGCTAAACAACTCGGGAACCATAATTTGGGATCTCGAAATCAGTAAACAATATCGTCATTTTCATTCAACAGAACCAGAGAGGAAGATTTCGTTTCCAAGCAATAAAAAAAAAAATAACGACATTCCTAGTAAGAAGTCGTACCAAACCAAAAGTTACATCAAATTCACAAAGATAAAATGCTACAAAAGTCCTCATCGAATCACCAAAAATAAAAAGAGAGAGGCAATTGCGGGTCCACCTCAGGTAGCCGCCTCACCCCTGCCACCGACTTCCTCGTCAATTTTCTCAACTGGGACATCGAGCTCCTCGGACTCATTCACCTGAAAAATAGAAGCCCCCTTGGCACCTAGCACCACCACCTCTTCAGCAGTAGCAGATTTCTTCTTGTACTCAAGCTGCAGCGCAAAGGAATGCAGGTCGAGGTCCATATGAGCATCCTATATCTGGTCCCTGTAGTTTAGGAACCCATCCACAAAGGCAGAGGCGCACTCCTTCAACAGCTCAGACACCCGGGCCCGCAAAGACGACAGCTCGGAATCCTTGGCCTTTAGGTCTGCAGCCTTGGCTTTGATTTCATCATCATTGGCCGCGAAGTCTGCATCTTTAGCCTTGAGCTTAGCCTCTAAACCTCGATCTGCGATTCTTTAAGGGCAATATGGTCCTGATGGCGGGAGTCCAGCTCATCGTTGATCCTCTTCAATTTCGAGACCTCAGAAACCAAAACTTGCAGCTTCCCCTCGACAACATCCTTGCTGACTGTCATGACATCAAGAGCATCCTTGGCCTTTTAGAGATCCCGCTCATGATGGATATCCAACATCTTCACACAGGCGAGCGACTACGAAAGAAAAAGGGTATCGGACAACGTAGGAAATAGGAAAAGAACTCAAGAGCAACTAAATGGAAAAACGGAACAATAGGGTACCTCGGTCAGACCTTGGAGGGCATGCTGGATCTTCTTTTTAAAGGGAACCTTCATCACCGGTTGAGGATCCGAAGTGGAGATTAACTCTAACATAGCAGCAGCTGCAGCCTCGGGATCGCGAAGAAAGTCGCCCCCACGCACCTTAGACTTAAAAGGGGCGAACTCACCTTTTTCACCCTTCGGAGGAACCGTCTCAAGTGAGGCAGAATGAGGGGCCGAAAATCCGAGCTTGTCCGCTGAAGTCCCCTCCTAGCCGATATCGCCCTTGGAAAGTACAAGAGAAGGCGGGGGCACGACAGCATCCCCTCGGGGATGAACGACTCCACTTTTCTGTCCCAAAGGAATGGGTATGGGCCCAATGGTCAATGCCTCCTTAGGTGGCAACTGGCCTCCCTTCGCCAATTTCTTCCTCTTTCTCGACTGCTCAGTATCCGAGAACACCGCCATGATCAGATCTTGATCCATGTTGCCCAACGGGAAGATAGAAGGTGGAGCAGCCCCTGAAACTTGGATAATGGACGGTCCAAGCCCGTGTTTAGCGAGGTTCTCGTCGATCACTAAGTCAAAGAAGTCCCTCAACCCAAAGGCCTCAATTCTAGCAATCCGGGCTACCTCCACCGTGCCGTGTACTGGGTAGAATTCTGCAAACCAGAACAAAAGTTAGAAACACAAAAAAAAAAAAGGAGAAAAGAAGATAACAAAGGGTAATACGACAGGTAGATTAGTCTTACGAGTATTCCTTGGGACCCCCCAAAATCTTGGAACACGAGGAACGTCGCCAGGTTCCCCTGACAACTCCCAAGAATCGTCCTTGACAAAAAAGAACCTCGATTTCCATCCTTTATTGGAAGACGGAAGGCCGGAGATCAAAGTCTTCGCCTTTAGTCGTTTAGCAAAATACAAGAAACCTGAGGAGGGAGAGGACTTCAACTGAAAACGGAAAGTAAATTCTCGTATAGAGGGAAGGGGAAGGTTCCCGCTCTCAAACCAATGGATGAGGAAACCAACCAGAAGGCCCTAACCGTTGGGAGACAGCTAGGCTAGGCAAACATTGTAGAATCCAAGAACATTCCAGATAAAAAGATGGACAGGAAATCGAAGACCAGCCCGGAATGCAGACTCGAAGAAGCAAGTAAGTCCAGGGAGGATGGAATTACACCTTTTGTGCTTCCCGGGGAAATGTAATTCCACGAAATCAGGAAAATGATACTCACGCCTCAACTCCCCCAAATCCTCATCATCAAGACAACTAGGGGTTCCCTCCGCCCAACAAGTCAGGTCAAACGGTTCGCGACGAGTTCATTTTTTAGAAACGGGGGGCAGAGCCGGCTCAGATTTCCTCTTCTTCGTTCGAGCCGGAGAACCAAGAGGCAAGGCGGAAAGAGGTGCAACTTCGGCTGGAGGCACCAGGGATGTAACTCCAGCAGTAAACTTAGGGGCTTCGCCACCGGCGGAAAGAGAATGCCCACTAGAGGAAGCAGTAGTAGTTTTCTCGGCCTCCCACTAACAGATTCCAACTCGGAAGAAGAGGAAACGACAAATTTTTCCATCAAAAGGTCGGACTTCACACCAGAATGAAGGGAAGGGAAATGCAAGACACAACTTGCCAAAAATAAAAGTTTCAAACACCAGGCCCTGAGTAAGGATACCCTCGCCACTAAAGAATGACTTACGAATCGCGAAAGGAAAGAAAGGTCATCGGAATGCTCTCTAAAATAACTAAACCTCCAGATCAGGAAGTGAAACCCAAAACCCCACCAGGAAAGGTTGAATGGATCCAAGTCAAAATAGCAAGGAGAGAGGAAGAAGGACGTACCTAGTGAAACGCTAGAGGAAAAGGAGAACCAGGGACAAGGATGTCGTAAGTCGCCCAAGATTCTGGATCAAATCACTTCGAATGCACAGAAAAGGAAAGGAGCATAAAGAAAATAAGGACTTGGAACCACAAAGCAAAAAGCCAAGAGACTTTCCCCCTTTTTTTTTTACAAGAGACGTATATGTATGCATGAAGCATTAAATTTGAGACAGGCAAGTGACAGGACACACCACAAAAGTCGTATCCACGAGCTCACCTGATGGTGACACGTGTGCATTGTCATCCCATCATCGTAGGCAAACGGAGGCATGGCCCAATTTAGATCAGAACCAATAGCCGAGCACAGTCATTACTTCGAAAGCCCATAACAAGCCCACAAAAGTCATTTTTAACCCCAGGCTAGAAGTGATAACGCCTTCATGACCTGGGGCTGGGGGGGCAACTAATACGGACGAAACTCAAAGCTAGGGCTTTGATAGCCCAGAGGCCTGTCGAGCCCAAAAGGCCCGGAACAGAGAAGGTGAACCTAGCATCAGCAAAAAACCTATAACCCAGCCGTCTAGGCCCAGTCCAAACCATAGAGCGGTGTGGAGAAGGAAAGTCCAGTCCAAGCTATTTCTAGGTCACCAAAGGGGATCGCAAATCCTAGAATCTAGGAGGACCACTCCTGACACCTACGGCAATCTCAGAGAAAGTGGAGCACCAGGCCGCCAGAGATCATGGCAACGACAGCGCCGAATGAATAGCGATTGTGGTGGCAGAAAAAGCAGGAAGGGGGCAAAAGAAAGGACAGCTAGAGGCCCTAGGAAGAGCTGGTATAAATAGATAACGATAACCCCGACAAGAGTAGAACTCCATCTCCCCTAAGAAAGATCAGAAGAACATCTGAAAACCAAAAAAGTGTAGAAAACTGAGAGAAAATACCTAGATATACACTCTTTGTAAGTGGACTCCGAGTCCTAAATTACCGGAGGCACTTTGTCGGCCGATGAATATATAAACCTAGCGAGCAAGAAACTCCGTTGATAGTGGACGTAGCCTTAGTCTTTCGGCTAAGGTAAACCACTTATATTCCCAGTCTAATTAGACCATAAAATATTAATCCGCAATCTGCAAAACTATTTTCATAACACCATACTATCACAATCGGGCTTGGGCCACAAAATCCGAGTACCATCATGTCAAAACTTCAATAAGCTGCTTCTTCACTTTATCAGTCAGCATACGACCCGCACCATACTCCTGAAAGAACATGACTTAAGCCTTTTTCAGAAACCAAATCATGACAGCCCTCCTTTGTGGTGTATAAAAAAAGTGTGGAAACCAAATTATAGCAGGATATCTCAAAGCTACTTGCATTTGTTACCATTAAAAACATGCTTCATTGGTTCAGTGCACGTTACAACAAAAGGGCCGACTCTTAAAACATTTTTGAACAAGCTCTCTCAGTAGACCCATAGCCTTTGAACTGAACATGAATATATAGATACACCAGATAACTTAACTCATGACTATCAGCTTTGAAGATTTGCCAAACAAAATTGACCACCTGTCTGCAATTTGAATGAATCACTAGGCAATCGATAACATAGTAATGTCCAGATCAGCAGGTCACATATACCTCTTATCCGACCCATCTTGGAGATACCATATATATTGAACTATAAACGCAGATATAAATGCTGGAACTGCTGTCAAGTCGGCAAATTCAGATATTCATGAAATATCATACTAGCTTTGGCATACAAAGCTCAAATTGAAGTTCTCAGTTCATCTGATCCCAATATCTACCCAAAGACTCAATTGTTGGTGAGTATCCGAAACTTTACTCTCCTTTTAATGCTGCCCATCCTATCATATCCAATGCCAATCTTACTGTGCATCAGCTTTATTGCCAAATCTGCATTCCCTGCTTTCCTCAATGCATTGATCAAAATTGTACGAATTTTGCCTGGTATTTCTCTACCTCTGTCAACAATACCATCAGCCAACTTACAAGCCTGTTCAATTCGACCAGCTTTGCACAAAACATTGATCATATCTTCAAAAGCTCCCTCTGGAATAATCCCCATGGGTGCCAGTTCATCTAAAATCTTGCAAGCTCTCACTACCTTGCCTGAAAGACAAAGCCCAGTGGCAAGAGCTCTAAAGGAAGCAGCAGTGGGAGCGATACCCTTATCGATCATCACATCCCACAACTTCAGTGCCTCTTCATTTCTGTGTTCTTTGAACAGTCCACTGATTAGAATGGTGTATGTATACACAGTCTGATCACAACCTTCATCTTCCATTCTCTGAAAGAGCAGTAACGCTTCGTCAATCTTCCCACTCTTAGTCAAGGCATCAATAAGAGCATTATAGCAATATGAATCCCGAGGACATCCCTTCTCAATCATCTCTTCAAATAGTTTTCCAGCCTCATCTACCCTTCCAGCCTTTCCAAGACAATCAATGAGACTTGAATAGAACATGGCATTAACAGCTACATTGTTATTTCGACAGAATTCAAAATATTCCATGGCTGCCTCCAATCTCCCACTCTTGCATAAACCATTCACAATAACCCCAAATGTCACTTCATCCGGTTTAAACCCTTCGCTCTCCATTCTCTCAAAAAGCCTTATTGCCTCCTCCATATTCCCAATTTTAGCATACGAATCAATCAAAGTAGTGTATATTGCAACGTTAGCCTTGCAACCCTTCCGAATCATACTCTCAAGAACAGCACACCCTTCCAAAGGCTTCCCCTCTTTACAAAGCCCTCCAATCACTAAACTATAAGCATGTGGCGGAATCTCCAACTCTTTTTCTTCCATTTCATGATAAAGCGCCAAACAAGAATCAAAATCTTCCTCCGAATAGCATGCCTGCATCAAAGTCAAATAAGTTATCTTATCAGGTTCCACACCCCTCTCCTCCATTTCCTTAAATGTCTCCATTGCTTTTTGTGTCTTCCCTGCCTTGCCATACCCTTTCATCATTGTATTATACGTCACGATATCTGGACCTACCTTTCCACCTTTCATAACCTCAAAAACCCGTTCAGCCGATTCAACACACATCGAATTCACCAACCCATTCATCAAAAAATTATAAGTATACAAACTGGGCACAATTCCATTCTCTTTCATCCGACGCAACACCCACAACAATTCCTCAACCATCCCAAGATTCCCAAAACTTCTAATCAAAGAATTCGCCGCCAAAACAGTCATCAAAAAAGCTTTATCCCTAAACTCACAAAACACACCTCTTATTCTATCCAAATCCTCAGACACTGATAAAATATCAATCAAAGAAACATAACATTCAAGATTATGAGCATACCCCTGTTGCTTTCCAGCCCACTGAAAAAATCGAAAAGCGACGTCCAGCTGACTCCTTAGCTGATCAGACTTTAACAGGAAGGCAACAAAACTGGGTGATAATTTGATGAGAAATTTGTGACAATAAGTGTCTAAATTGACTTCCATGTTTAGCGAATTGTCTAAAAGGTTGAGAATTTGGTGGACCCATGGAGAGGGTTGGAGGTTCTTTGGATTTGTGATGAGGTCAGAGAGGTCAGTGAAGGGTTGTACCCATTCGGGTGGTGGAAGTGAGGTAGTAGTGAATAACCATCTCGGGATTGAGCTGAAATCTGAAGTTGGGTACGGTTCTGAGGGTTGTGGTTGAGTGAACATAGAAAAATGTAGCTTCCCATTGTTGTACGAACTATGATGTCTTTGAATTGGAGTGAAGGTGAAGCGAGGTTTAGCTAGGGTTTTTCTCATGAGGATTGTGAACTGATCAGTGAATTGAGTTAGACGATGAAATTGCACATTTGAAATCGAGAAATAGTAATTTTATATTATGAATATCTAAATAATTGCTTGGAAAATTAGACAACAAGGTCCCATGGTCTAGTGGTTAGGACATTGGACTCTGAATCCAGTAACCCGAGTTCAAATCTCGGTGGGACCTTTTTTTTTTTTTCATGTTTTTAAATTAAATTTCCTTTGTTTTTTAATTGTTTTTGTGCTGCAAGAAAGACTGGTAGCCGGTAATTTTATTTTTTTTCCTGAAAATTCCTTTTTTCTGCTTTCCAGTACAAGTCAATACCAATATAGAATTTCAAAAATTTTGCAATAATTCAACACTCAAGATTAAGATAGGAACAACTCCAAAAAAAAAAAAAAAAAAAGAGTTTTTTGGAGGCCATTAGCCTCAATAGAATTTCAAAAAAAACTTATTTACTAATTTTTTTTTTTTTTTTGGATTAGGTCACTGTTAAAAAGTCAAAGTAATTGACATAACTAACGCCCTTTAAAATTACAAAATATAACGACAATGTCATCGTCTAATTTAAACGCCTATTCTAGAAAGTTATGTCTTCATAATGTATTTTCTTCTCCATAAACACAAATCGTCAAACACGTACACAATAAAAATATATGTGTTTATAAAAGTATACAACGTATCATATATTATATTATACGAATATATACATCTGCGAGATAAGTACATTAGTATTTAATTAAGAAGAAGATACATATACGCATTACAGATATACAAGTACATAAAATTCAAAATTAAGGATTTCATCCATCCAAATATATACCCATGAAGTGTAGACATCCCAAAGTTGCATTGAATGTTATCCTTCGTATTTCTACCCTTCTGATGACCCAAGAACATGTTGCTTCTGCCATTTATCGTTCCAAAACCAGTGACAATTGCAAAATCATCATAACCTGCTCGATCACTGTGACGCTCTACAAATTGGACATAAGAAGGGAAACTAGGAAAGCTAATCCTCCACCACCACCCTCGCTTCTTCATCACAGTCGTTGTCACAACTATGGCTTCCTCCATACCTATTCATCACTTCATATATTACTCGCATCTCTCAAATTTAGGTTAAAATTATGTAACGAGGATAAAATGGGTAATAAATATACAATAATTATACAACCCTACCAACACAGGGATCGCATCCAAAGTTTTTAAAAACAATGAGGATTTTTTTATATACTAAAAATCTGCTAGAACTAAATTTATACACCAAAGGAAAGACATTAGCCTAATTTACTAAAAAAAAATAGAAGATTAAGGTAGGATGTACCTTGGTACGCTCTTACGCCAATTTAATATAGTAAAGTCTGTCTAGACTGAAAAGATGGGTATTTGTTAATATTTATATTTTGATTAACGTCAGATGTTAGACTATTGTATGCTAATTAAGTAATCCAGAAGATAAGTGTATATCGAATATAATGTAATATATTGTGTTCTTTACCTAAGTTTAGCGCATGCATGAGGATCAACATGGGTATGAGTTGACTTAAGGCTACCTTAGCAGGCTCTAGCTCCATAGTCCAAAGATTAGTCGCTGATATTGGCCAAGGATTAGGACTTGGGAGTTCTTAGTTATGGTCAATTAAGAGGGCCATTTTGACATTCTTTATTATCTTAAAGTTCTGAGTTAGATAAGATATTTGAAAATTTAGGCTTTTAGAGGCTATCTAAAAACTTGATACCATGATATGTTATTTGTACGGATGAATATTTGCCTGTAGGGAATCTTAATGTCCCGTCTATATTTTTTAAGAGGTCAAGTATTGTATGCATTATAAAATTGTAAAAACTTAAAGGATAATTTAAGTGGTGACAACTATGAGCTGTAAATTTAAACGTCTTAAATTTAAATTTTTTTTTTTGTTCAATAGTATGGAGTGTCTGAACTAACTTATGCGCACCTTAACTAATTTTTCTCCTCAGTTTACTCAAAAATAGATCATCTATGTCGAAACTAGGATATTTATAAGAGATAAATTCATCATAATCTGATTTCAAAGAATGTCAAAATTCGAGTTCAGAATATCTGAATTTACATTTCGCATCTGTTATCACTGAAGCAACATTGGATTTGTCACAACTTTTCGTTAGTTTCATTTGTCGTAGGAACCATACAAATAATAAGAAAAAATTCTGGTCTAAAGCCATAACTTATTTGTTGGAATCAAGCGACGCCAACATGGTCGGAGCCAATTGAGGTTCAGCGGGGGCCTCAGGTCCACCTTAATTTTTTTTTAAATGTATTTAAATGTGCCAATTTTATTATTTTTTATTCTATCAATTAGTATAATCCCATCAAAATAACTATAAATTTTTAGACTCATTTTGGACACTTTATAAATACATATAAAATAAAATATTGATATGTCAAATTCATATTAAGTTATTGAGAATAGGACAACTGAGTTGCATAATTGAATAAGTAATCAATTACTAATAATTTGATTGGTTATACAGAAAAAAAAAATTATATTATTTTTTATGCAATTAATCTTATTTATTTTGAAGGGTTGTAATTAGTCTTTTTTTTAATCTTTTTATTTGTATACTCTATATTTACTGTTGTTTGATCTTTTTGTATTTTATGAATCTTTATTATTTTGTCAAGAGATAACAAGATCGAACTATAAACTCAAACGTCTTGAATTCGAATCTTTGCAATTATTTAAGATCAAATCATCAGAGATTTATCCTTTATTAATACACATAAATAACCTGCCTTTAATTGAATAAGAGAGAAAATTAATCGAAATGCACATAAACTGACCAAAAAAAACCCTAACCGTTGAACCAAAAGTAAAGTGGGCGAAATGCTAAATAAATGTGAGATTTTAATTTCATTGTACAATTTATTTCGAATCCAAAAAAAATAAAGGATAGAGGCCGCTGGGAATTTTAAAGTCAGGACAATGCAGCATGGTGCCAGAATTGTGTTGGCAGTGCGTTTTTTATGATTTGGGCAGTTTCCACATACAAATCTTTAAAAAGTTGACTTTTAACTTGTTCCACAGAGTGACTAACCCCAGATTTCCCAACTGTATTCTGCTTACAACCCCACAATTACCCAAATATCAGCCACAACTACTAGAAACACTGGTGTTAGATTCAAGTCTTGAGCCTTGAACAGAGTCCATCAAAATTCATGAAGAGAAACTTCATATTTACCGAGTCCCTGCAAATCTTGAGAGCCAATCTACAACCGCCGAAGGAGAATCCACTCTGATACCACCTTCAAATACACTCATCCAATAAACATTTCGTTTGCTCATGTTTTTAGAGCACGTCTTGATTAATAGAGCAAGACTATCACATCAATAATCAGCTATCACATAAATAGTCAGCATTCTCTCCCTTGATCTTAGTTTGTTATAATCAGCCTATTGGTCCATTCATAAGCTTCTATTTTCTAATCTGGAAATCAATATTGATTGCAGAACAAAATTGCAGAGCAGTGTAAGCTGATTAACCGAGAGATAAATAGGCCACCTTCAACTTAATGGAGGACTACATGTATGAAAGAAAAATGGGAGTAAAAGCACATACCGGTACAAATTCTAAATAAAAAAAATGCATCTTCTTGGTGATCTCTAGAATAACTCGAACATATTCTGACCTCCGAGTCTAGTTGAACATATTGGGAAGAGGCCTGACCGACATGAATGCATCCACCATCTGGTTGAATATCGAAAAGAGAATTTTTAATAATTCCACCATCATACCAAATATAAGAAAATTGCATGTTACTTTCACTGTCACCATCTTCATTTAAAGAGAAATAAGTGTCAATCTGGTTTCATGTCAAAAATGGAACACAGGAGTTCTTTTGTGGAACAAGTGCACAAGTACTAAAAAAGCTTTTATGGAAGAAGCCCTAAGCCACAGTGCAGTTTCCTTGCCTTGCGTTTAGAAGTGAGTTTCTTTTCACAAAATGACACAAGTTTACTAACTTCAACCAGTCAATTCAGATTCCAGACAAGATATTTATATTGCAGCCAATGATGAACCTATCCTAACTTAACCAAGACCAGTCATCACCATGTTGATTGACTTGAAGATCACTCGTGAATTCTACCAATTTTCTTACTTCTGTATCTACTTTTATTACTCTTCCTTCACAATTTATCACATTCTAATCCAAAGATACTGATATCCCGCTATCTGTTGTTCAAACTACCTAGCCATAGATTACTCAAACAAGCAATTGTACCCTACCTAACCAAAAAACTGCATTGTAACAGATTTCAGGCAAAACAGTTAAAAGCAGTTTAGGTTCAACATCATTACAAAGCTTGGACTGTGTTGCCATGAGAGATGTTATTCTCATAGAATGATAGAATAAAATTTGAATAAGCAGCAGGTAAAACCCTCACAAGGCAATTTAAAGCCTTCTTACTGACAAGATTTCGGAGAGATTAGTGCCAAAAAAACATATGCATAGACTAAGGCAAGATGTAGTCAAAGGACACTAAAGGTGTGATACATGCTATGTGCTTGCCAATTACCATGGCCTCGGTTTTTTCATGTTTCATGCAGTTTTTTTTCAGTCACTTTCAATCAGTTACTTTTTATGAATGAAGATAGCAAATTTCATATATAAAATTTGAGTTCTACAGACTCACACTTTTGCCTTTGTTTCACAAAAATTGCATAACCCAGATGGATTCTCAATCATAATAGAAAAAGTAATGAAAGAAAGTGAAAAATAATAAATAAAATGAAAGGGGAAAAATGCGCTCAAGCAACCTATCCTATTAAAAAGCAAAATAAAAATCGAAATGTGGTTCACGGAGAACCTAGCAGAGTTATAGCTTGCATAGAGCTTTATGATAGGGCAGTTTCCATAATGGAAAGCAGATTGTCAAAAACTAAATTCCAACTTGGCAATATCCATAATGGAAAAGATTCTTTCACCTATTCTGTAAAATGGCATCTCAATTTG